GGTTTGGTTCGAGCTCTTCTTTTCTCTTATTGACCACAATCCCGTCACTGTCTTTTTACCCTTTTTCACTATTTTCTCCATTTCCTGGTTGTCTAGCCAGCGCGCAAAACTATCGGCACGCACTTTAACTTGATCCACCTTCGCTCCACGACGCGACTTTGGCGGGTTAGAGCGCGTCACGAACATGACGCCCGCCTCCCGAATTTGATATCACGTCCCGGCCAACGAGCTCAAACATTAAACCTCCCCACTACTATTTCCTACGCATCGTTGAAATACCCACTGCCAAACTTCACCTCTTGACCTTTTACTTCTTACTTCTCGGCCGTCGCTGCCTTGTGTCTACTTACATGATATACACCCACCATATACGACGACGATAGAATTCACGATTGATTATTTAACCGCCATCTCTGACCTCCCCCCTTAGGGGACTAACTGCCATGGCTTCACCAATGCCCAATTCTATTCAAGGCGGCTGGAATCACAACGGTCAGACGATGCAACAGAACGTGGAAACAAATGAAGCAGGCGTCCAAGTGAGGCCTATGGGCCGTATGCGAAATCAATGCGTCTGGTAGTTACTTTGCTAACTTGATACACAGTCAAGGTGCATTATACATTTGACAAGGATGCCAAAATAAATTGCCTTGCTCGCTCAACACAAACCCTCTTCGTTCAAACAATTCCTCTTGACGAACAAAACTCTATTGGCATTGTCGACTTGAGAGCGTGCCTACAGGCAATCACCGAATGCAGCCCGGAACTCGGAAATCAAGATAGTGAGGGCGACTACACCATTTACGCACTCGATTATTCAGAACCAGACACCCCCTTAGTTGGACAAGGCATGCTATCATGGGCACTCGATTCAATGCGTGGTGGTGAATGGCTCTCTCAGTCACCCAAAATGGTAACTGGGCGTGTCACCAAGAACTTGCTTGCCGTCTTTGGAGGAGGAAACCGCGAGACAATCGAAGTCAAGCTCAAGTTCACTGTCGGCTCCAGGCTTCAAAGGCGAGAACCAAATGTTGACATGCCACCCGTTGAGATACCACCTCACCCTATGCAACCCACGCCTTTACAGCCCGCTCCACTGCAGCCTGCCTCTCTGCCACCCTCCCGCTCTGCTGAAATGGCCGTGGCTTCTGGTGCCGCTGAATGGAGCTCTTTTATCCAGGCCAACCCTCATATCGGACACACAGCACATGTGTCTCGAGTGGCATCACCTGCCCTTTCTCAAGGCGCACCGCCCCCTGTCACAACTGAACGACGAGACTCGATAGGCCCCGCGATTAGTCAAGCCAACTCAGGATCGGATGTCCAACGCATAGCACCCATGCCCGTCCCTCCGTCAACGACCGCTGCTTCTACGTCAAGACCCTCTAGCAGAAGCTCCCGCAACAGGAAGCCGCCGACAGGGCGGCCTCGCGGTAGACCGCGAAAGAAGCCTGCCGAAGGAAACACTTCAGGGTACGAAGACGGCACCGAGGGCGAGGATGGCGGCTCAGTGCCAGTAAAGAAAAGAGCCAGGCCCATGAAGGTCGAAAAGGCTGCCCCTAACCCCTTCACTTCAGGTCCGGAATCTCTACGTGTCACTGCTAGTACCGCTGGTTCTCTTCGAAATTTCCGTCCTGTTAATGCAAACAATGAGGCAGTCGCTGGGAATCATCTACAGGAAGTTCCCCGGGCTCCTACTCCCGTTCCCGAGGGAGGACCCCTGAACGGCCCGGCCCAGCCTGGCCCCAAAGGCAACAAGCCTCGGAGGGAATCCTCGATGCGCAAGGAGCTGGGTGCTACTCTGAGCAGTCAAATACCCCCGAGACCCCTTCGTGCCTTGTCTCCGAGTCAAGAGGATGGCCGTTCTCCAGAATCGCCTGTCGAAACTCCTGCCTTTTCAGAGGATAGCCCGCAGGACATACGGTCTTCCCCCCCTATGCCACGAACAGAATCTTTTATGCGGTCAAGTCCTCCTCCTTCCAGTCCTGTTTTGCCACCAATGCCCTCCCTACCACGACAAATATCGAGCTTTGCGGAGAATGAAACAGACGACTTGTTGGATGAACCTGTCTTGCCAACAGCCAAAGAGGGCCAGACTTACAGCCAGCCTAAGACACAGAAAGTAATGGAAGACGTGGATAATACCGGAATTCCAACTCAAGTGTTCAGGATCGAAGATGGGCCAGAAGGCCAAGGGCTCGTCCATATCCAGAACTTCAACACCCCTTACCCAACCTCAACTCCTGCTGGTCCCCCTCCATCAGAACCCGTTACCGCGAAGAAAGTTGCCATCCCTAGATTAGTTCGAAATTCTTCTCAGAAACGACCTGCAAGCTCAAAACAACAACCACGGAGCTATGCACCAACGCCTCCTCCTACGACAGATGCTCCAGAAAAGGATAGCCCAGTCCCTACCACTGCATCCTTGCTGCCTGATTCTACTCAGCCGCAGGGCAACCAAGCTACAGAGGCAATGGAAGAAGATGCCCTCTTTGAATTAGTGCGCGCAGTCTCTAGTTCCTCTGAGCCTAATGCTTCAATTTCAACTAACCAATCTACTGAAGGATCTTTACCTACTTCAAAATCAAGTACTCGTGCCATCGCACCAAAGCCCCGCCCCTCGCGACCACTCGGCAGATCACAGTCCGCAGGAGTTCTAGCTTTGCCATCTGTTCCGGCAAGCGAGCCTGCCGGGCCATCTTCTCTATCACAGTCTGTCCTTGCGGAACCGCCCCGTGCTTCTACAGATACCACAACTTGTCTTCGTCGTTCCAAATCGGTCAGCGTTCCCAAACCGATTGCTGCCAGTGACCCTTTGGGACCGCCTGAGACATATTTGATTACAAACACTCTACCTACTCTTTCAGAGGCTATCTTTCCGCAGAGCGATTTTCCTCCTATGCCCTCGTCCCCGCCCTATAAGTCCAACAAGAACCAGATCAAGAAGGACTCCATTAAACAGAGGCTAGAATCTGCAATCGCAGCTGGCGAGATGCCTCCGTTCTGCACTAACTGCGGTGCCATTGAGACCCCAACCTGGCGCAAGATTTGGGTTCAGGAACATGACGGAGCACCAGAGAACGTGGAGTACTCAGAGAAGCCTGGCCGGGTTACTGCCATTGAGATTCTGAAACGGGATAAGGACAAGAACCCTCTGTCCCATCGTCTTATCAAGAAAACGCTTGGTTTTGGTGATGACCGAAATGACTGGTCAGAGAAACTGCTCTGCAATCCCTGCGGTATATGGATGTCTAAATATCACAACCACCGCCCACAGGATAAGTGGGATAATGGGCTTCTGGGCCAGAGTCGAAAGAAGCGGGGATCCGCTGGCCCTGAGTCGCAGGCAAAACGTGCCCGTACTAAGAGTTCTTCGGTGCCGCATCCTCCGTCAGAAGCCTTCCCAGTCACAGACTCCATTGGACCGGTCGAGCTTTCATCCCCTAAGCAAGCTGATGTTATCTCTATGGGATCACGAGTTGATGAGGATGCAGCCATGCAGAATGTCTTTCATTTACTGGCGGCTGATGGGCATCATACTAAAAGCATGAGCCAGTCAGTACCAGGCTCTTCCCATTCACGGGCTTCCAGAGGTACCGGGACTGCTGACAGTCCCATCGAGATGGACCTTGATGATGAGTTGGGAAGCACTCGACGCCTGCTCTTCCCCTCACCCCGTAAGGAGGGTACACCGAAGACCTTGGGAGAGATCGATGCCAACATGACTAAGACAGCGGATTGTCGGCAAAACAAGGAAATCTGCGGAAAGGAGAATGCAGTTTGCGATGCTCAGAACGAAGATCTCATCATGGATGATGACATAGAGGCGCTGTTTAACAGCCCAGTTCGTCCTTCCACGCCGCCGCCCAAATCCAAGGCGGATGCTGACTCGGCTCTCTTCAAAACCCCGACACGTCCTACACCTAGCCATCGACCTATCACACGCAGTGTCTCGCGATCTCTTCGATCAGTGAGAGATTTGTTGTCTCCTAGCCAACAAGCGCTTCTGCAAAAGACGCCGACCAGAAGTCCTGCGAGCGTTAGGCGCAGCCCACGACTGAATCTGGAGAGCAAGCTGGAGAGCGTTCTCGATACCCCCCTGAGCCGAACCATAACGCAGTTGCTCTCTGAGCCAAACTTTGACTTAGCGAGTAGCAATTTGGATTTTTCCACGCTCCCATTACTAGACACAGACCCTGCCAGTCTAGGTGACTTTGGCAGTTTTCTCAGCACCGACGGCATTGCGCCAAGTTCTTCCCCCAAAGATGGTAATGTGAACTTCACCTACAGCGGTTCAGATAATGTCTGGGCTGAATGGGGCGGTATTGAACACAAAAGTACTGTCCAGGAGAAGGAGAAGTAAAGAATGGATGTAGACATTGTTTTGCTTCGAATGCTTGTTTTTTTGAGTTGTTTTTTACAGCACTGTTAGTCAACAGGTCCATGAAGAGCACGACGGTACGAATAGCTAGGTTGATTTTTCTGGGACAGGCGAAAGCCAAGTAGACGGCGTTGGGACAATTACACGAAAGTAACGGCGCTTACTTATTCACAGCGGATACGATACCTTGATAGTGGCTGAGAAATGCCTGTTTTAGAAGCAAATTGCGGCACAAGAAAGCAATGACTGATTAATTAATTACAATTTTGATAAATCCCGATACATCTGCATTGACTGTCTGTATCTTAGTGAGAATACTCCTAGTTAGTCGTTCTAATCATAATAACTAAGGTATGGCTGCCCATTCTACCAGTATAAGAAATTGACCGTGTGCACGATTGGTAGCACTGTACCATTAGTTTCTGACCACTTAACGCGGTCTGGAAGTTAGTTACCTATGATACGACGCGTCTGGGCGCGCCCACATCCAGACCCCTCCAGACGTTTTGACCTTCACCAATGCCATCTTTTTAATCCATATACGACCTTTGTCTTTGCCAGAAATCTCGGTTTGCTACGAACAACGAACAACTCTGGTCGAGGTTCATTTTCGCCCATGATGGCGGACGAAATTGGAAGCCGGTTCTCCCCCAATAAGCCGCTTGAGCCTGATGTCCTCAGCGAACTAGAATCCATTATGCGCCTTCATGGCCTCTCGGCCGAGGATCTCTTTTTCAAGTGGGAGTCGTATTGTATAAAACTGGATCTTGATGCTCAGGCCCTAAGTCTCGAACTTCTTCGGAACCTCAAGCAGAGCATCCAAGATGAGCTCGAAAACAGCCATCGAAAAGTCCAGGTCAAGACCGAGAGAAAGGTCGCCAATACACCGAGAGGCACAGCAAAGGGCGGCGATGTTTTTGGGATGTTAGATGGGCTTGTTCCCAGCACTCCAGCGTCGGGGGCAAAGTTGAATAGGGGTGCTGCGAGTGGCAGTGCTGTTAAGAGAAAGACGGAGACGCCTAAAGGGCTGATGAGCTCGCCAGCGACAGGTATGAGCGAGCAGCTCAAGTCGTTGAATGGACTACCGTATGCTACTTCGTCTCACCAACTGCCTCCGCCTTGCTAACATTATCCAGGCCCACATCATTCAGTGATCGAGCAAATCCAGGAGAGACTGTTGAAATTCTCAACGATCGCCTCAATGCCGCCGAACCACCGATTGCACCCTTTGCCGAGCCTCGAGTAAAGCTCACAGCCGCCTCAGATCAAAAGAAGCTGGGATACAAGCCATTGGCCATGAAACTCTCCGAGGCCAGCGAAATCCTCGACGACCGGATCGATAACTTCATGGCTCTTATACAGCAACATCATAAGATCGATGAGAACGAGTTCGGCAGTGCCGCTGCGCAAAGTACAACTGAGGTCGTTGCTGTTGGCCGCATCGCTTCTGACTCCTCAGAAGGAAAACTAAATGCGGCGTCACTGGTACTGGAAACCTCCAGACGAACAGGAATGGGCTTGCGGGTACCCCTAAAAATGGACAACATCCGCTCATGGAACTTTTTCCCTGGCCAAATCGTAGCTTTCCGGGGTGCCAACGCCTCAGGAAACGAATTTGTCGTGAAGGAGGTTCTCGAGGTCCCTCTACTTCCCAGTGCTGCCTCTTCGCCCTCCGCACTAGAGGGGCATCGTGAGAGGTTCCGTGGTGGCCCTGATGCTATGGACGAAGATTCAGAACCTGCACCTTTGAGCATTCTCTACGCCTCTGGTCCTTACACTGCTGACGATAATCTCGATTTTGAGCCACTTCATGCGCTTTGCAGTCAAGCAGGTGATACTTATGCAGATGCGCTTGTCCTTACGGGGCCGTTCCTCGATATCGATCATCCCCTTATTGCCACGGGAGATTTCGATCTTCCAGAAGAGGCAAACTTTGACCCCGATACAGCTACTATGGCAACAGTATTTAAATACCTTGTTGCTCCCGCTTTCAACCGCCTTGCAGCCTCCAACCCGCAGATCACCATCATCCTTGTCCCGTCCGTCCGCGACGTATTGTCAAAACATGTCTCGTGGCCTCAAGACTCGATTCCTCGTAAGGAACTCGGCCTTCCCAAAATGGTCCGCATTGTCACAAACCCTATGACTCTTTCGATCAACGAACTTGTCCTCGGTGTCTCATCGCAGGATATCCTGTCCCAGCTCCGCTCGGAAGAGGTTGTATCACGTGGCGGTGGACAACCTGGAACTGATCTCATGAGTCGGTTGTGCCGGTACCTAGTTGAGCAGCGACATTACTTCCCGCTGTTTCCTCCTACAGATCGCTCTAAGCTACCTAAAACTGGCACGGAAGATGGTTTGGCTACTGGGGCTGGTTTAGACTTGAGCTATCTTGAACTAGGAGAGATGGTGAATGTCAGGCCAGATGTCATGGTTGTACCTAGTTTGCTACCTCCATTTGCAAAAGTTCGTCTCTTAGCTCCTTTTTTGTCTTCATCCTTACTAACTGAACCTCAGGTCGTCGAGAGTGTCCTCCTTATCAATCCTGGTTACCTTTCTAAGCGCCGCGGCGCAGGTACCTACGCACGAATGACATTATATCCTCCCCCAGTGTCAAATGGAAGCGGCGAAGACATGATGGGCCATCAAATATACGATCGTGCTCGCGTAGAGATTGTCAGAATATAGAGCATAGCTGGGTGCGAGTCCAGGGCTGCACGTAATCTCACGAGACACGTAAAAGAAAAAAGAAGCTAAATGCAAGGCATATACCATGGTTGTTTGGGTATTATTAATAGTATAACAAGAGCAGGCTGAGTTCATCTGGCATCCACTCTGCGTCTTTTGTCGCTCTCATACCGCTCGTCGTCGTGTGACGTACTGCGTTTACGACGCCTGTAATCATCTCTATCATTTTCGCGTCGTGGCGAACGTGACCGTGACCGTGATCTTCGTCGACTTTGTCCATCATCTCTTGACCGATAAGAGTCTCTATCCCTATCTCTTCGATCTCGGTGGCCATTGTCTCTTTCATTTCGGTCGTCTCTCTTGCGATCACCTAGAGGAATGGCATTGGCGCCGCCTGCGCTTCGTTCGTCACGGCGAAACCTATCATCGTCGGGTCTGAAACGCTCATCTTCCTCGAATCGTCCGCCGTCTCTCTTTCGGCCATCGCCGATATCTCCCCATCGGCCTGTGTCCTCGGTGCGCATGTCCCTGTACTTTGTTGCACCTTTGCGGCCCAGCTTGGCCATGTCGCGACGCTGCAGGTATTCGGGAAGTGCCTCACGGTTCCGCACGTCGTCCTGGATACGACTGCCCATGATGTCTCGCTTATCCAGACCAGCTGCTTTCATCTCGTCCTGGTAGAATGCTCCCTTGTGTAGATAACGCTGCATGAATGACATTTTGCCCTTGCCCTCCTTTTCCTCTTTCTGTTGCGCCAGGAACGCCTCGTCTTCGGCTTGTCTTTCCTCCTCAGTCAGGTTACGTCGACGCTCAACTTCTGCAAGCTCCTTTTCGCGCTCTTCGATGATAGCGCGGGCGCGCTTCAGACGTTTGAGTTCGCGAACGCGCCAAGCTGCTTCTTCAGCCTCTGGATCTAGCCCGTCTGTTGTATCCACATCCGAGTCCTCGTTCTCGTCGTCATCCCAGTGCTTTTTGCCTGCTGCGCGAGCGGCAAGATCCTTTTTGATTTGCTCTTCCACGAGCTCGTCGGCGGCTTTCTTGCGGGCCTCTTCTTCGGCCTGTCGTGCTTCTTCCTCTTCTTGCGCGGGAGTCTTGGCGTTTCCTCTTTGGCTTTTTGGTACGAATTTGGGCCGAATCATTAATCTTCGTGGCGCTTCATCCTCGCTGCTCTCTTCTTCGGATTCGCTTTCCTCCTCCTCATCCTCGTCTTCATCCTCTTCACTTTCTTCATCCTCCTCTGTCACGAAACCTTCCTCTGCAGCTAGGCGCTCGGCTTTTTCCTTGGCAAGTCTCCGTTCTTCGGCAGCTTCCGCTTCTTTCCTCCGAGCGTTGAGGTCGACTTTTCCTAGGTTGCCTGATGAAATTTTGCCCGCGCTGGTCGCTTTCGGTGGAGGTGGAAGGGCTGGCTCATTAGACTCCTCGTTTTCGCTCGCGTCAGAATCTGAGTCAGATTCTACTCCTGTGGGCTTACCAGCGCGATAACGCGCCGGTTTCACCGGGTTTGCTGTCATTCGTTTGGGTGGCATTGTGATAGAACGCTGAGGATGAGGTTTAAGATGCGACGCATGCTTGTGACGTTGAAGGCTGGTAGTGAAATAAATTAATGGGTCTCGCGAGGTGCGATAAGCTTATCGCATCAGCTACCCTGTATGGTCACCATCTTGAGGACATAGTTGCTTTCAAGTATCTATAGCCTATTTGATTCATGGAAAGTGTTGATCTAATATCCCTTTCTCATTTATTTTACAACTTAGTATTATAGGGTCATTCGGAAATATGCCGAGAGCTACGGTGTGTCGTCTACTATCGTATGGTTCTCAATCAAACTGGAATAACTAGATTTCGCAAGCCAAGCTATTAAGAAGACATGAACGATTAAACAATACCTTTTTTTTTTTTTTTTTTTTTTTTTTTTTTTTTTGTTTTGGGAGCATATATATTTATACATTGTGACATAAAGAATAGAGCAATGGCCATGTCTTGGATGTTACTGTACAACGTATTATTGTGTCTCTCAATATCCTGGTTTAGTGATAGTGGCCATGATGTGTATCATTCTACATGTGCCCTATATACGATTCAAACAATACTCCTTTTTGCCTAGTGTAATGTCGAGTTCTACCTCTTCTATAGTCTAATTATTGGCGCCCAACTTCTTCAAGACCCTTAACAAGGCCCTCAACTGTCCCTGGCAGAGTTTGGCAGTTGACCACAACACGGAAGAAGCTGCCCTTTGGACCAGGGGCATAATCAACCATGTAGCCTCTGAGGATCATCTCCTCGACCATAGTCTTGGTTCGGAGTGTGTTCTCCTCCTTGTTATCAGATAGATTTCTCCCTGGCGAGTAGTAGAAGCAAACTTGCAAACAAGGGGGAGGGTCTTGCGATACAAGCACAAAGTTGTCACTCTGTTTGAGGAGACTGGCAAGGTATTCAGCCTGCTCAAACGCGTGGTCGATCTGCTTCTTAAAACCTGCAGCACCATAGTATATCCAGGCCAAAGCAAGCTTAAGACTGTCACCGCGGCGACCGCACTGCAGGGTTAGATCTGCAAGATCCCAGATATCACCGCCATCGCTGGTATGGAACAAATAGCCCGCTGCGGTGCTGTTGGCCTTGTTGAAGATGTTCATATCTGGTCCGAGGAGGAACGAGCACGTGACGGGAACGTTCATCATCTTATGAGGGTTCACTGTCAATGAATCGGCCAGATGGGCGCCATTGAGCTTGTGCTTTTGCTTCGACGAAAAGATAGCAGGGCCTCCCCAGCTTGCATCGATATGCATCCAGAGGCCAAACTCCTTGCAAATTTTGGAAATCTCCCCAAACGGCTCATATGAGCCCATGACAGTGGTTCCAGCCGTCGAGTTCACATAAAAGGGTGTCTTGCCTTCATCCCTCGCACGGACGACTAGGTCCCTCAGGGCATCCGGCCTCATGCACCCAAATTCATCCACAGGAACAGGCCAGACGCTGTTTGAACCCAGACCACAGATCATGGCGCTCTTTTCAACCGAGTAATGCCCGTGAGCACTTGTAAAAACGACGAAATCGTGGCTACCGTTGCCTGAAGCTCTACATTCTGGGAACAAGGTGTTCCGGGCAACGACCAGGGAAGTCAAGTTTGAGGCGCTTCCTCCCTGACAAGAAATACCCCCTGCTCTTGATCCGGTGAAACCAAACAAGTGTGCCAGAGTCTTTGCAGTGATTTTTTCAATGATGGTGAGGGCGGGAGAAACTTGAAAGACATGGAGCTAGAGGGTGTTAAATGCTTGTTACTGGTAGTGCACAGGGGCTGGAACGTACATTGGTGTTTAGCACTGAAAGTATCATATCTGACACCACACCAACCTGATTTATCATGTATTAGAAAACGGATCAACCGATGAAGGCGGGATGACCGTGACATACTGCGTTCGTGCTTGCATACAGCTTATCAAGGAAGCCCTGATCCCAAGTATTGACACTGTTCTGAAGAACTTGCTGGATAGTCTCCAACAACCCCTCCTTACCTTGACCCGAATTTGGCAAGGAAAACTTGAGTCGCTGAGCAAGCTCTTGTGGTTTTTGAAAGTCTACCAGGACATTGTTCTTGACACCAGCTGAACCGGGGCGAATATCCCCTGTGGCACGCTCTGCTGCGGCATCATCGGCAGCCTTGATGTAAGGGACAATGAGACCCTTCACAGCATCGATGAGCTGGTGGTGTAACGTCAGCGACCAATCAGCTCAGAGGGTGAGCTCGTGTCATGTCTCACATCGTTTACTTCTTCAGCCCTATGGAGGGTGGTTATGGAGGGGTTCCCATTGCGGCCGTTGGTTACAGTCATGACGGCTAATATCGGATGAGAAAAGTGAGAGATGGAAATGTAAGTAACCTGGAGAAAATATAACTGTCGTTTAGTTAAGTATAATATGGGTCTAGAAAGTTGAGAAATGAGGCACAATGGGAGGAATAAAAATAGAAATAAAAAACAGCTCGTCATCCAAAGAACTTTGAGAGATGGGACACATCATTGATGGCAGCAATGGCTCAATGTCTCGTGACTTTGAATTATTTCTGCGAGGGATTTCCCGTCCGATCAACCGAGTCTTTCCCGAACATGTCAGAAAGTTCATTACTGAGCGGCAAAGTCCTAAATACCAGCAACCGAGGCTTGAACAGGCACGACTTGATCATTTCTCGGCATCTTTTTGTTAGTGGCTGAACGCTGAGGACAAGATTAGTAGACGAAGATGGGGAAGGCCGGGAGCGATAAAAGTTTCAATTGCTCTTCGCTCCTCGTTCTCGCTTGGCAGAGCCTTGTCTTGAGGCTGGAGCTGGGGTTATCGTCAGCTCAACTGAAACGAGTTGGTCCATCTCAACCCTCGCTCAATTTCTTTTTTCCCTCGACCTTATCTTGCTTGACCTTGACCTTGGCAATAACCTTATCAGACTGTTAATTCGCGGTCCGTAATCGCATCATCAAGTATGTACATGTAGGGCACCGACGCCAGCTGCCCTTTTCATGTGAGACAATTGGCCCAAGAAAGAGAATAAAGTCTCAGATCTGTGTCTTGAACATGAAGGCCAGAAAGACACCACATTTTGAGTCAACCACCCACCAAAGGAATCACTACAATCTAACTGTGAAGCTGTATCTGACCGCAGGGGGAACGAATACTCACTAGTTGTATTTGCCTTGGATAAAAAGAGAGGCATTGTCTAACACTTGTGGCCAAGAGAGGACTCGAACGATGGCTCGAGCCCTCCAAGGGTAGGCTTCAACGCCTCTACAAAACACAATCGACGTACCTAGTCTGTCCGCCTGATATTGATGATAGGCATGCACTCCGTACATGCATACTCATATCTTAGTCTTGTCTGTGCGCGGAAGTCAATTTACGGGCGACGGAGAACCTGGTCATGAAACGAGAAGAGATGAGATGTAGCGTGGTGAGCCTGTTTAGTTCACCATTGCGTGGGGGAGGGATGGGATGGGATGGAATGGGATGAGACTGTGACTGTGACTGTGCTTTCAGAAATACATATCCGTACATAATAAGGTAGACATTGAAGAGTGAAGACCAAAAAGGCAGGCCGGAATTTCATCTGGCAAGGTTTTCACAATCACTGTCACATCGCTTATACCAAAGGTTGACAGACAGACAGAACGACATGCATCCAATCTGATCTGAGCGATGTTGAGCACCACCAAGCAAATCTGCAAAGACCGATAACGGATGGAGTGGCAACCACAGATACATAGTTTGTCGCCTGTCTACATTGCGCATGTTGATGCTCATGCTTTATTCTTATTCCCATGAGCACTAATAATTCCCACTCTTGGCTGTGATGAGCTTGAGCTTTGACCTGACTTCTCTTGTCACTTGCATTTGCATCTGCATCTGAGTTTACATATTATCCACCCCGATTGCGACTCTGAACACGCAAGTTTGAAGGTTCCGAGTGAGGAAATATCCCTGTTGATCAACTGTCCGCCCCGTCCTTGTCCTCCAGGCTTCAGCTTTCTCCCTACCTAGGTACCTAATTATACCAGTAACGAAAGCTCTGGGTGATAACTTATTAATAAAAGTTTAAAACCCGCCGCCCGTCTCCGTTTTCAAGTCTCCCCACATTTTCGCCGTTGGGATCTGACCAGAGCCTAAGGAGATACCTAACCTTGTGCTTGGCTACTGATTTTATTCAGAAGCTTATTGACAGCTGCAACATTCATTGGATGATCGAGTCCGTAGCTCGCCTACAAGATGGCTGACGCGTTGGGATGATGGAAGGGGAGGGGGGCTCCGAGACGGAGCGAAGAACTGATGAATGCCCCTAATCTTGATGTCTTGTCTTTTGTATTATTACTATCCTTGTCTCATCACATCGCGCAAGCATACCAGCTTCCCGGGATGGCCAAGGCGAAGGCGATGGCGATGGCGATGGTGTGCTGGTGGCGGTCGTGATAGTGAAGGCCCTCAGTCGCTTAAGGTATATGCAGATCATGAACAGTTTCGTACCTTGCATGTGAAAAAGATGTGCAGCACAAGAACAAACCAGTGCCCAATGTTCATAGCATCAATTACATGCTGATGCCCAAAATCAACCTTGTACACATCTTTTTATGCATCTTTGCCTATTTTTTACCTTTTACCCCTGCGCCGGCCAACGCCACAAACGTCTTCATCCCTGTCATGCCCCATCTGCCCTGTGCCCCCCCGGCGCTATCCAGCTCTTAGTACTCTGTAGCCCGTATCGCACCGAACGAAGAGCTCAACTCAACGCGGCACCTTCAGCCGTTTTTCCGCACCAAGAACAAGGGGCAGCCGGCCATGGTTGGTATCTTTTGAGAGGAAAAAGGAAAAAGCAAAAGAGGCAAGAAACGTACGTGGGAGAAGGGGAGAAAAAAGCAAACTTTTCCTCTTCACTTTCACTTTTTCACTTCCCTTTGTTTCCTCTAGTTATCCTGTCATTCATTTCCTTTACCGTCCATACAGTCCTATATCGTGGCTATCACAGCAGACAACCTCCCATTGACTCTACCTAGAGGAAGCAAGTAACAAGACGAGCAGAACCAGGCTCCCAAGGGACGACAAAAGGGAGCAGCACCTGTTTCTCTCTAGACCACCTACCTATCATCCAATTCAACCACCATTCGTCATATTTCTCACCCTGGACTCGGCTGTCTCAGAACAAAAGAAAAAAAAAAGCCCCTCTTTCATCCATTCACTCACTCACTCGCCCCAAAGGGAACTGCCGGCTGAGCCCTCAGCATTACAAATTATCATCATCTGGCCAGAAACTCGGACCCCCAAGAAGCCTCACATCACATCACATTGCATTACGTTACAGCATCGATCATCACTTCCATATTATAATACGCTCACGCTCACGCACACACATTGCACCCGATTGCGACGAGACACGACTAGAACGATTGAAACGACATCGTACCTGACTCGACTCAAAAGACAATAGAACTCGGCTCCAACAATACAACTAACTCCACTACACCAAAAGGCCTTGGCAACTCGATCGCACCTAGAATCATTCTAGAATTTCCTGTCATCCGATTCACAAGCGGCGCGTTTCGGTGCCTATTGCGATCGCCTAACAGCTCTCCCGCTTGGGCTATCAACAGTACGAGCACACTGCAAACATCTCCTTTTTTCTTTAACGACCACCTTCGCTTCATAAACGATTCAGCGCAGCCTCCGACATGACGGCTCCGACACAGACACCTGTCCCAATATCTATCACGATCTGCGGCGACGGCGGATGCGGAAAGTCCTCTATTACATTGCGCTTAGTTCGCTCGCAATGGACTTCAGACTATGACCCAACTATTGAGGACTCATATAGCGTGACGCGCCGCATCGATGGTGTTACTTACCACCTATCTCTTACCGACACAGCTGGCCAGGAGGAGTACCGCGGCATGTGGGCTTCCTCAAACCTCGGCGCCGATGCTTTTCTCCTCGTCTACGATATCACATCCAAGGACTCCCTGGATGCCCTGCAGCATTTTAATGAACTTATCGATATGGAGGCAGAAACTCGTCTTGACAATGCCGACCGCGCACGCCGTGCTGGTCTGCGCTCAGGTCACGATACGCGCTCCCGCACCATCCCTCCTGTCAAGCTCGTAGCCGGCAACAAGTGCGATCTGCAAGAGAGCAGACAAGTCCCTGCAGCTCAGGGTCTTGAATGGGCCCGAAAGCGCGGCTGTGGATTCATGGAGACGAGTGCGCGCCTAGAAGTCAACATCGAAGAGACGTTTGCATTAGTTGTGCGCCGGGTGGTTGAGGCTCGACGACTTGCTGATACAGGTCCGGACGCAGCAGAGTTTAATGCCCGCGGTATGACGAAACCGCTGACGCCTCTCCCGACCGATAGCGACACCGAGAAGCGCGCGGTTGGAGTGCGAGGACCGAATCTTCAGGGCGACAGGGTGGGAGGGAAGAAGGATAACGGCTTTTGGAAGAGCCTGCGATGCTGGTGAAGTCGGGCAGGGGCATTGTGAGAACAGGATAAGCAAAATGCTGGGAGAGTTTGTGTGGGTTTGTTGGGAGGAATATTTCACAGGGCTTCAAAATCATTTTATACCAGGGTTATTTCGGCGTCTTGGCGAAGGACTTGGGACTTTTTATCTTCTTTTATCGTTTTGCAGAGGACGCGTTTGTTCTGGGGAAAGGATGTCTTCCGTCATCTGACATCATGGAGTTACGCCTGCGCGCCATTGTCTTGGGTCTAACACCGCCGGGACTTGATACTGTTTTACCTTTACCACTTGTTTGCTGCTTGGTGCGCTGTTGAATTCTGCTTGTAAACGGAGGGCAACCAGGACACTGGCCTGGAGACGAGTCTCATCGAAACCAGATGCTGAGCCGGTTGATGCTCTTTCATGTAGGATATCTGATGATGGTGCCTAGTTTGTTTTCCAGAGAAGAAGCATCAAGCATGGTCAGTAAATGCTCTATAAGCCAGAGCTATCGAGAAGGACAGGAAGGCTATTAATCGTGACTTTCCATAATCACGCAAAATGCACCAAACTAGCATACGCGTTGCGAATAGCCACCCAAGCCGGCACGTTGAAATCAATCAGGAGGTTTATTGTCTGTAGCTGCCTGTTAGATGCGAATGCTTACAAACCCAGCTCTTCCTCTTGAGCAAATATGAGAGAAAATGTGTCACCGATAATCACATCTGCATTGCCATAAACGCCGGGCCTCTATGTCTAGAAGCGTCTTCTTACCCTCTAGCCACTTCGTCACGCCTCATCAATCCACTTCCTGTAATCAGCGTACTCCAGAGTAGTTTTCTTGCCCTGGTAGCGTGTGACCTTGAGGTCCAAGTCTTTCCAGCGTCCTCGGCTACCAGTCCACCCCGCCTTGCGGATGAGACTGAAGAGTGTTTCTTCTTTAGTCCATCCCTGCTCGGAGGCTACGTCTGGGAGGTACGTTGAGCCATAACGGCGGCCACGATCGTAGAATGAGAGTCGGATGCCGTGAACGCCAATTTCCCAGTCGAAAATGTCATCGACTTCTTCAAAATCGGTCAGGAGTGTGACTGCAACTTGGAGCGTGGGCAATTCGGACTTTCTGATTGGGGAGAAGCGAGTGTCTTGAAGGGCAGAGATAAGGGCATATTCCGGGATACCCTCAGCTAGATCTTGAGCTTCAAATGTGCCGATACAACCGCGGAGCACGGGCTCGCCACCCTCCATCGTATTCCATGTCACGAATAGCGGGGCAGATGTTGGGGGAATAGGAAGAGAAGAGGTACTCGTGGCAGGTGTGGAAGCACCTAGCGAGGTCGAAGAGGAAGAAGACGAAGTGCTAGCATCAGGGATCGCCAGATGTCGAAGACTGGGATCGTCTAGGGTCTTTGGAGCAACAGGCTCTGAATCTGAGGCGGAGGCTGGAGATTCTTGAATCTCTTCCAAAGTCAGAGCTTTCCGATGGGTGAGGTGAGCTTCCAGCGCCTCAAAGCATAGTAGGCAGTGATCTCTGGTAGCCATCGGGGAGTAGAGTGGACGATAGAGCTGCTGAGAAAGGTCAGGAGGCTTATCAGAGATAAGGCGACTGAGAAGAGAGAAGGTAGTAGAAGCGGTGAGTGAGTATGCCTCCCAGCAACAGCATGGACGATACGATCTTGTCAGACGTAGAGGTAACTAAACGGAACGCGCAAGAGCGAGAACGAGAGTAAGAGTCATAGGGAGAGGTTGGAGAGCGAAGGAGAGTAGGTGACCGTGAAATGGAGAGATGCACCGGATGGAGGGGTAGTTCTGTTGATGGTTCAGTGGGACCTGGCTGAACTTTACTGGACGCAGTAATCAATAGAGCTAAACGACCAATACAATCCGGCCAACAGCGCCATGAGGAGGGGTTTGGGACACTAGGTACCTAGGTACGTAGGGTTGGGCTTCGAATCTGTAAAGCCCGAGCTGCCAAATGAAGCTTAAGCTTTCCCAAGGCTTCCATTCCCTCAAGCTTCTTTCTAAGGTTTCTTGGAGGTGCAAGCTTCCATTCCATGCTATAACTACCTAGGTAATTACTCATTGGATTCCCCCACGGATTCCACAGCGGCCCCGCTACAAGTCACCTTCTGGCGCCCAACCGGCATTGGATCCATGGCAGGGATAGGTAAGCTAGGGATGAGATATGAAATCAGTCAAAAGAGATGAAGTTAACGAGATCCGAAGCGACATACCATTTTCTGCCATTAGGGAACTTGGCAAGGCTTCGCCTGTAACCTGACACCGATCCGAGTATCACTTTGTTACCGGATGGTCAGATACCGCTAGTTTGATCGTCACCCCGGAGTCTGTAACTCCGGGTAATGTTTCAGTTACGACTATGGAGTGAGGATGATTCATCTCAAATGCCGATTGAGTTGTAATATTCAAACAGGATCTGATATCGTTGCCAGGTTACGGCTCTATTCATGTGCACGCTTCTTCGAAGTTCCGAGCAGATCCACGTTTGACTCCCTTGGCAGAACACCTCAAACAAGTATCGGAACCGTCTCGAGTTTTGCAGCCCCATAAACACTTACGCAAGCTCATGGCAATGAGAAGTTGTGTTCTGACTGTTTGTATAAGTAGTGCCGTCCATTCTCGCCAAGTGAAGAAGTCCTCATGCTGTGCATCCCACAATAGTCGTTGTTTACCACTCTTCACCACTCTCTTTCAAGTTTCTTCTCGTCGCAGGCCGACATCTTAATTATTGTTCCCGCCAAAGCCCATTCGCAACTCATACCAGTCAAGATGCGTTTCTCTATCTTCACCTTGGTCGCCCTTGTCTCGGCTTCTTCAGCTTCACTTGGTAAGTAAACGGCTGCCTTCCGAGGAAACATTACTGTTGGCTGACTATCAGCAGTTCGCCGAGTCGATGTCAATGTTCCGGCCATGACAAACGCAGATGGAGTCGTTGTGCCCTTCGACACGGCCGGTGTCGTCCAGCCCGCCAAGAAGCGAGATCTCGAGCAGAAGAAGAGAGACCTTGCCCAGCGGAAGCGACACATCTCTCGCAAGAGACGCGCGGTTTCTCAGGAGAAGCAGCAGCAGCAGCAGAAGCAATGATTAGAGAAACTGCAGAGTTGGAACCCATAATCAAGTCACGGACGAATGCCTCTTTGAAGCAGAAGCCCGGGGGCTGAGGAAACAGACAAATGACAACAATAATTGCAGTGCTTGGACTTGGCTTGTACAGAATAGGAGATAAGGTGCGAGAGCTGGGAGCACCGCTCACGTCGTAAGGCTGGGCCTTTTGTGGAATCATAATTATCATCATCATCATCATGGTCCTTTTTCAGAGTGCATGTTCTCTAAACGCAGTCATCCTGAAAAGGTTCTGCCTACGTATAGGTAGCCAGCCTTGACTTTCGCGCATGATGATCATGTGAAGTACGGCATTACCAAGAGGATCCTTCCCATGTATTTTGTTAACGTTCTCCAATTTCGCTACCACGGACCCTGCTCATAGGAGCTGTCAGCATCAGACAAGTCACCAGTGCGAGGGTTTCAGTGCGAGCTACAGAATCCTTTTCTATGGATCAACTAGGTTGGGTGGAGACCATGGTAATCCGCAATGGATACCAAAATAGTTGAAATATTTCATGCTTGAATGTTGAAGGCAGAAGTGAAGGGTTTGCCAATTCCTGAAGCGTAGGGATCCTGTTTACTCAGCTGAAAAGGCAAATAAATGTCTAGGTAGAGATAGGTAGACAATGACCTTTTGTTACTTACTATTCTGCTCAGACCTTCAGTATCTATCGAGCTGTAACTATGCAGTGACTGACACCCTCGATCAAGCTTGTGGACCCTTGAAAACTCGGTGCAACCACCATGTCACTACAGACACACTCTTTCTTTCGGTAGGTAGGTAGCATGTTAGTTACCATGTGAGTCTACAAGATCCCATAGACTGGCTGTTGGGAGTCGGTCACCTTGTGGCCAAATGGCCGAAGCCGTGTCTGGGTTTGTTCTTCAACCACCATAAGAAACCTTGTTGTTGGTAGAGGATCGAGGCGCAGTTTCAAAACGTGGGCAGCCAAGGTGATATTCCTAGATTTTGACGACATCAACCGAGAAAGGAATCTATTCTCGGTAGCCCATGATCTCACTCCTGCGGGCTACGGACTAACGAAACCTAGTCTAGGCAGCGGAGACAGTTCAACTCCGTTCCGTTCTTATGTTGACCGACAAATAACAATCCATAACTAACTACTCATCAACATCAGACCAACCTCTTGTCTTGTCTAGGTAGATTCCTTTCGGCCCCCACTTGTCGCACCTTGGAGCTACAGTTCCGCCACTCTCTGCTCTGCTCTGCTCTGCTCTGCTTCTCAAATCAAACCCTGGCGCCTGAATGCCACTATACAGATGTGGCACTGCTCCAAGCGGGCTCCAACGGTGGAAATCCTTCTGACGTCTGAGCAAGATCGATCGTGGTTTATTTGTTGCTTGTTGTTCGACCGTCTTTTTGTCCAAGTTCATGTTTCTATTTACAGGGCTGAATGAGTGGAGTTGTTCATCCTAATTAGGTTGGCTTTTTCCGCCGATGAAACCCATAGTCAGCCTTGCCGCTTTCGAGAACATGGACCTGAATGAGATGAGATGAGATAAGGTGAATGCCAAAAATGCCTCTTCCACAAATCATGGGCGTGCTGCGCAGCCTCGCGCTTAACCATGGCGCCAATATGGAACAGATCCTTTCATCAAACCAATGCCCTAGGGGCCGTTGAGTTTTGCCTAGGAAGCTGTTCGCCCGTTTTGATGGCTTGAGGCTGATAAGCCCAGCTGAGCTGGGTCCGAGACTGTCCAAGTCCCCCCCAAAACTAAACTAAACTGAAGACTCTGACAATCAACTCGCAAAGAGTCCGAAACCACTGAATGCCTCTTCCATTTCGTCCTACTGACCCAGCAAATTACTAGCCTTGACTTGGGGGTCGCAAAGTCCCTCGACCTCTGAGCTGTCACCTTTCTCACTCCGTCAGCAAAGCTCTACCTACAACAGCACTCTCAGCCGCAGCCCTCCATCAGCACTAAGCCCAATTCCAGTTGAGCAACCCCAGTGTAAACTGCACAATAGTGGAGGCGGTGGCTCATTATCCCTGACCTGGCGCCATGAATATCGAAGAGGGCTGAGTTGAGTTGCGGGGACATGGGAGACTAGACAGTTGTAGGCGGCATTGCCCGCCGAAGAGGTTGTTCAATAAATAAATAAGAGGCTGACCCCCTTGGGAGTTGGATGTTCGCTGACGCCTGAATGATCCTTTAACGGCTAAGAACCCTGGATGCTCCAAGAACAAAACGCACGCTGGCCGACGGCGACCTGAAGAGCATTCTTACGATTACACGTTGATGACAATAGAAATTCTGCATGAGAAACGACCAGGCAGTACCACCCACCATTGAGCAGGAATACTCTGGAAGAGACGGACAACTACGCTGTCGAGCCAACTGTTGAGCTTCGAAATCACCGCAGCGTAAGAGCACAAAGAACAAGACACTTTCACGATGCTCATCAGTGGAAACCATCGTGCTCAGGCACAATTCGATCGGGCAAAATGGCGCCCAATGGTTATGATCCCTACCTGGGTTCTTCAGCTGGGCTTGTCTATGTCTATGATGGGACTTTTCGCCTATAGATTGGGCGACAGCATGAAGGTGAATAAGGACAGCGACAAGAAGAACGACGATCCAACTATTGAGATTGTGTAAGTCTAGAGAGAGACAACGCCTGATCCAATGCAGCAGTTTTGCTGACTGTGAATAGGTGGGAGGCTACAAATGTAGCTCTATGGTTCGTTGCATCTCTATGCAGTTTCGTCGAAATCGCCAAATACTTCGCAGAGGCATTGACTCCGTGGACCATGCTATTCACACATGTCATAAAGTTGACCTGCGCCATCGCCACTCTCGCGCTTGATATAGTTGTCTACACCGAGAAGCACGACAAGCACTACTCCCTCGTTGGTCTTGGCTTAGACTGCGCTTTCATGTAAGTTCCGGGTGTCTAGCTTGAACACGAACTGTACTGACTGGTGGTGCTTTAGCATCACCTCGCTCGTCCTGGTCTTCTACTCCGTCCGAAGATACCGTCGCCTTTCTGCTTACGACGATTACACACACCCTGTCAATGTCAAGCCTTATGGCTTCAACGACGACCTTGAGCGTGATACTTCATACGCTCGACAGTCTTCCGACAAGCGCTTTTCTTCAGCATCGTCACGAGCTAGCATCATCTCAAAGCGTGAATCTGTCGAGATGGGCACTGTCCAGCGAACACCAAGCGTCTATTCACACAAGCGTGACACCCAATTCGACGACTATGTAGCACGTCGCGGCTCCGCCACCAAAGAACGCATCGGCAGCGGAGACTTTAGTTACGCTGGAGCTCAGGGCGAGGCCCAGGACTCTGGAGCAACACTCACACCAACTCGCCCCAGGGGCGCCAGCAGCGGCCGAGCAGCGAGCTGGACGAGCGACCGAGGTCTCGTAGCTGTACCAGAGGAGGAGGACGACACAGCAGCTGGGAAGGAATCCAAGGCAGAAAAGGAAAAGAAGGATCGCGAGGCCCTTTTGGGCAACACTCCTCGCGAGAGCATTGATGGCATAGTTGTTCCACAAGAAGCTGACATTTCGGAGCCCAGGTGGCAGCGCGAACAGTGAAAAAGAGGGAGGGAATGAGAGGGCTCCATTGGTAAGGAGAGCCTTGTGAGACTTATACGAGAAGAAGACTATTTGGTCCCAATCTCCACGACTGTATATACCCACGGGAGAATTGGCGTTTTCGGGGTGCTGAAGTAGCATTCAAGGTTGACTGTTTCGTGGTACTTTACAATTATAGATGCAAATGCTTGTTCCAAACTTAGGTGCGAGAGAACAGTTTTTCTCACCAAATGAGGCCACCGTTCTAAGTAGCCGTTTGAGAAGGTGTCGCCAAGGGAAGACAGGTTTCACATAAAGCTGCTGGCTGGTCATCTAGATGGAAGTCAACAGTGTATCAAAACAAGATCGATGCTGTGATGGTAGCCCGCTAGTTTGTACATAATCTGGACTTACAAATCTGTATCTGGTCATCCCTTCGAAATAAGAAAGCTGGGCAGTTTCATAGAGGTGGCCCAGGCACAGGGCCAGATGAGACATTGCGCGTACAACTTGTAAATCACGAGCTGTGGGAAGAGCTGATTGACACAACTTCGTTAACGGTTCTATGTACATATTCATCGTTTATAAAGCTCCACATGAAGAGTTGCCATCTCGATCCCAACTATAACAATATAAAGGAAGTTGAAGCGAGATACCATTCTAAAAATCTCCCATTTACTTACCCCCATCTACGCCATCATATAGTGACTCGACAGCAGGTCTCTATTTCTACAACGTGAGTGCTTGAACGATATAGTTATAATACTGTTCATAATTTGGCTTCACCCCAATTCTATACACTCCATCTTGCAGTTCTCATGTAAGATACCCAATGGGCTTTTGATGGTCAATTTCTTGAATGCGCGGGCAAAGCATGCAGCCAAATCTCTGTATCATCACCTCATCATCTAATCAGGGTATGAATCATCTTAGATGAGAATTCGGTTCCCTCTGGCTTTTACATAGCTGTAGATTACTTTTAAGTGTCTTATATCTTGGTCACCTTTCGAAAGCGGCAAACTCGTTCTGAGTTGGATCTTAATGCTTCTTCATGGCAGTCTCCACAAGCTCTATGGCCCCATTTTGAGACCTCCGATGTGTTATCAGTTCCTCTTCGATAACGTATGGTTTCTTACGGATCATACGCACAATTGTAGTCATATACTGTTACCTGCTTTTAGGCATGCATACTTGGGCGAGTTTCGTCATACGAAGGATTAAAGACAAAATACATGGAGGCTCGAGTAACAAGAGTCACAAAGAGAAGCTATATCTAACAGAGGAGCTTTTGAAATGGTGAGACGGTTAGTAGTAGGTACAGAATGTCCTTCTACAGGTTTACAAGGAAAATAATAGGGAAGTGGAAATCGTTTTGATCACAATGATTTTGGTAGAAGAGTAGTATATAAACGGACAATACCATCCTT